ATTTACAGCTGGATATTTACCGAATATAATATACAGATGGATATTACTATAAAAAGGTTTTTTTACATGTACAATAGCATAATATACAGGTGGATATTACTATAAAAAGGGTTTTTACAGTTATGTACAATAGCATATATACAGATGGATTTTAGTATAAAATGAATAAATAAAGTTTGGACAGAAGCTATCTAAATTAAAGTGCAGTGGAAGGTAATTGCATATTACAGTTAAAGTACGTTATTGCAAATATATACGTAAACAATTCGTACTGTGAATAAACAGTCGGCAGTGCAAATCAATATTCAGTCAAGGTGAGTAGTGCAAGATGCATGTAAACAGTTGCTACAATAGTAACAGTCTGGAGTGCAGGTGAACATTACAGTCTTGTAAAAAACAGAATAGCAAAATGGTGGTAGGTGTGAGGAAGGCGAGTAGAGTCTATCAGTGAGGGTTAGAGTTCAGTAAACATACAGCTCTGGGGAAAAAGCTGTTCTTTAGTCTGCTGGTTCTGGTCCGGAGGCACCTGAAAAGCCTGCCGGAGGGCAGGAGAGAAAGCAGTCTGTGGACTGGGTGGGACGAGTCCTTAAGAATGCTGCAGGCTCGATGTAGGCAGCCTTATGGTGTCGAAATATCACATTATAGCACCTCAGGATTCACAGTGATTTAAGTTCAAGCTTTTCGCTCTGTTTATGTTTCCATCATAATTTGTAAAAGAAGCAGAAAAAAATATGTTGTCTTGTGTGAAATATTGTGTTTTGGGGTTTTCCTTTCCTACGTGTTAGGACTCCAGTCTGTGTGGTCTGTGTTTCTGTGTGTTTGTCTTCCTTTCTCCATCTGGTTCTGATTTTCCTCCTCACACACCTGCACAGGGTTACCTCGTTAACGAAGTGTTCTTAAGCTGCTGACTGCCACTACCTCGACGCCAGAGTGTTTGCCAGTTTTGGTTTTTGTGTCTGAGTCAAACTTAGTTTTTGTCAACCTGAGTCTTAACATTGTTTTTTGTCTTTGCCTCTTGGCAGGAAGTCATCCTGCAAACTGGATTTTTCGGACCTTCTCTCCCTGGAAGGATCAACTGAGCTGAGGATTCAAAGCGGAGGTTTCTACTGAAACGTTTGAGCTTCACACTGAGCAAGGGATTCATCTGCACAACAGTCTGTTCACGTACCGCAGGAAATCTGAGTGGCAGTCAGTCTTTCTCCATTCATCTACAAGCTATTGCATTCTGGGTAACCCTGTCTGCCCTCCTACGTATGAGACAAACACCGGAACACATTCCTCACCTGCTGGAGTCTAAGAGTAAACCTAATCTCTGGAAACGTGAGTCTGCCAACCTTTTCTCCTCTTAAAGTTCGAGAATTAATTCTTCTACTGAACCTGATCTAACCGCAGTGTCTTCCCCTCACCTTTCAGTTCCGGTTGAGCAGTGTTCAGAGCAACACTGGAACCTCCACAAAACTTCTCAATAAACCTGTTAAACATTTTACCTTGTCTCTCTGGATTGGTTTATCTGCATGTGGGTCCGAGCTCTTGATAAAATCATGACACTATGACTTATGCAAAGAGCTGTTTTTCAACCTCATGTAAATGTGAGGGCATTCATGTATTCAAAGTACATTTCTAATAAAAGAGTTCTGATTAACAGCTGCTGGATATACGCTGTCATGATCCTGTTTTCTTTCATGCATTGTGGTTCCAGGGGATGTTTATTCATACAGGTAATCTCATTGTGACATCTGTTCTCATTCCCAAGAACATTTTAGGATCATTCTCTTAAAGCATACTGTAGTTGAAAAGGAATGTCTGACTTTTATTTGTTCATTTTTTATATAATTTCATTACTTTTGTTAGATTCTGGTGATTTCCGGTGATTTCTGTGAACAAGGATTGTATTTTTGTTTCTTTCATTAAATGAGGGTATACCAACAATTTTGTCCACAAATTGTGAAAAGATATAAACCAGCTCCGACTCTGAAACTGAAAGAAAGTACAGCTTATGCAAGCCAGAGGAAAACCTTACGTTACCAAAACGACAGTCAGACAGATAACATTGAGAGAGAGCTAAAAAAGGAAAAGGAAAATGCAAACAACCCGGCATAAATAAACATCAAAGAGGCAAGGTACAAATGTAAACGTGAATTCAAATAACCGTGTACAGGTGACAGGCTGTAATTGTGCTTCACATTGGAATTGGACATATATGTTAGAAAACATTATTATTCTCTTCCCTGTTCCTCATTTCAACCTATTCATAATTTAGGTTAGTCAGTTTAGAGACAGAAGACTTAAGAGATATTATTTAACTATCAAAATCAGTTTGGTTTCTCTGGAAATATAAAACAACAAAAAAATAAATACTGTTAATTTCTGATTGAAAAAATGCTTTCCCTTGAGTAAAAGTCTGGGGGAAAAAACAGAAGAATTACTGTCTGCACATTTCCCTTCTTAAAAGCTTAATGAAGTAAGGAAATTGCATCTTTAAAATGCCGCATGACACCAGAAACTCTATATTCAAGTCATCATACAGGGAAAAGATGATTTCAGTGAAATTGT